CAGAGAGAAATATTTTATTCAAACTATAATAACTCTATGGTAATAACCGCAGACTAATACCTATAGTACATCTGCTATGTTCTAGAAACTATCCTAAACTCTTTCCAGAGGTTACCTCATTCTTTCTTTTCAACTACTCTCACACAGTTGTATGAGTAGCCCTGCTTTATGCAGAAAAAGGATAAGTAATTTGCCTAATGTTACACAATTAACAAATGATGCATGACATTTAAGTCAATCACAAATATTATTATTCTCTTCTATCCTAAAGGATAGAAATCTCTTCAAATGTCCCTTAAATTGACATTACAGCATTTGCTTTTCCTCAATCACACATGGAACTTTGTTTCAACTTCTTTTAATTATTTACCCAGTTTTCTCTTATTTATAATTCATCCATTGTCCTACTGTCTCATACAATAACTGGATTATTGTAGGTGCATTATGAATGTGATATGGAAACATGAAAGTCTTCTCTAAAGGAAGAAACCAGGTTCCAGTGAATGTCTGCATTTCTCATGTGTGGAATTTTAGCTATTAAAACTCGTTCCACTTACTTCCATTGATTTTTCCCTCACTGAACAGATTCCCAGGTGTACGTCTGATGAAAGAATTGATGTACATGCACATGCACACACACACACACACACACACACACACACATGCTCCATCACACAAAGAGAAACGCACACATAAACATCATTGGTTAGAACCACATTCCTCTCGGTATTTTCTCCTTCCTGACAACATAGTCAATTTGGTTTTTATTTTATTGTGTGGTGGTTGGTTTTTTTTTTTGTTGTTGTTTTTTAATAATTACATGGAGTTCAGTCTAGGTTAATCATCCAGTCAAATCTGAAATGTTGTTGATGTCCTTCTTGTTAGTCAACGGGAAATTTCATCCACAAACTTAATTCTCATACCAATAATTTGAAAATCTCCTGCTGGAAGTTGTTAGCTCCAGTCTAGAATTTTAACTCTAAAAGTCAGAGCATTCTCTTTTTAACATCATCTTAGTCTATGAAAGATGTTGCTTTAACCCAATTGTACTTAACTGTACAAATCTCATCACAGATGAAGGATTTTAAATAGAGCCACGTGTGCGTCAGTATCATGTGGTGCATGTGACTTGGCAGAACAACCTTCCAAAATTCAGACTCACTGCCATAGAGTCAGTTCTGACTCGTCGACACTCTCCATTGGGTATCGGAAGCTGTAAGTCTTTAAAGGAGGAGACTGTTCATCTTTCTCATGAGGAACAGCTGGTGGATACAATCTATTGGAGACAGAGACTTTTAGATAGAAGTGCAACAAACTATGGTATAGGCCCCTAGGGCTCCCTTAGACCAATGCAAAGGAGTTACATTAACTGCTTCCTGATTCAAATTTAGGGTTCTTTTTAAAAAAATAATTCTGTGAGTCCTTATTGTCTACTTACTGCAATTCTTGTCCTTATAGCCTAAGGTGGGGGGTGAGGGGAAACAACTTAATCAAGAATTAGATAAAGGCATAGAGTAAATACAGTGTCAGTGTCGCCTAAAAATAGATCCCAAAATAAAGATGTGATATGACTGCTGATAAGGTCCAAGTGAGACCTCAAAGGTGACTCCTATTGGGAGGACTATCACCAAACATCCGTGGAAAGTTCTTGCTTGATGTAAAAACCACCAGAAGTCAGTAGACCTTCACTCCTCCCCTGCCATGCCACGCTCCCCATTAAGTCATTTAAAACGTAACAAACCAAAGGCATCAAGAGGCGAGCCACAGCATAAAGGAACAGAGGTTCAGCAGACTAAAGCGCACGCCTTCTCCAGCACCACATGGGTCCCTTGTCACCAAGAACTTCTAAAGAATTTTTCATCCCACCATTCTTTTCAATACCTAGACTACTGCTTTCTGAAGTGAATTACTGGCTGCCTTGGAATAGCAATTTAATACTTCTTCAGAATGAGGCGATTTAAAAAGTACAGTCATTCTATTCTGCAGCTATTAAACCAACACATGTTTACTTTCCTCGACCACATTTATTTGTGCACAGGTTAAATAGCTTTCTGTATTAGCTGCATTATTCATATCATTAACTTGCATTTTTTCTGAGTTTGAATGTACTTCCTGAACAGAAGAGAGAGTATACTAAGACATTAAATAGCTCTCTTTAGCTTAATGGGACTTGCCAGTAAAATAGAGGCCTTCTCGGCTGGTACTGAAGGTGAACATTTAGTTTTCTTTGGGGTTGATGAAACAAACTCTGATTGGAGGGCATTGATGTTGAAAAGTGCACATTTCTTGTGCTACAGCATCAAAAGTTGCTACCAAAAGAAATGAGGAGAGAAGGAGCCAACAGGAACAGAAAGCTATTATAAAATTTCCTATTTAAAAGAGTGAATCCTTTTAAGAGTTTCCATCCCTGTAGCAAGAACACTATTATACAGTGACTAGTCTTTCTTTAATTGCAATATTTGCTTCAGAGAGCATATTATTTTAGGACAGAACAAAACTTTAAATATATGGCAAAGGGTGATATCAAGTTATTAAGGATCTGTGCCCAGAAAAAGATGTCAAAACAAATACATTTTTGCATCAATAGTCTCAGCTCTGTTTTTCCCACACTAGGAAAAGAACTTGACAAAAACAGGTGACATCTCCCAAAGGCTATGGGGAAAACTGACAGCTGCTCCTGTTTGCTAATGAATCCAACAATCAGTCTATGCATGTGGAATTGTAGAAGTTTGCTTCTTTTACAGGACCATTGCCTAAGAAATTGAGTTGACAGGAGGGTTTGGCTAGAAAACCACTGTCACAGGTGGCCAGGGCTGAGCTACACAGTTTTTCCCAGCGGGAAAATAAGCTCACCTCTCATAATCCAACTGCTCATACAAACCTGTTCAGTTTAGATTCTAGCCTGCTCATTAACCACATGCTTATACAAAGTTTTAAATATTGTAGAGAGAATGGCCTTCTGTTAAAAATCACTAAACCATGATCCCCTCTTCAAAATGACATCTTCAGAGCAACATATTCATTTTGAAGTTTGCTCATGGTCACAAAGTACTCTGGGCATCTGGAAAGACAAATTGCCACACAATAATCACGCTAACGAGATGTGTCACTGATTAGAAAAGGTTCACTTTTTCAATGCCAGAATGCTCCTTTTGATGACTCAGCAGGTGAGAGTCAATTTAAATCAGAATCTCTCACAATTTTCCTCTACAAAGAACACGGTGGAAGTTTTGTAAAGTCAGCTACGGATTACCACTCTAATTTTTGTGACTGTAAATGTGTTGGGTGTGTGGAAAAAAAGAGTTTTCCCTGCTAGAAATTAACATTCTTATAAAACTGAATGTGATGTTTCTTTGTCTTGTCCTAAATAACCAACATTAAAACTTGAGATTCTGGGCTAAGATACTTAAACTTTAAAAGGCAAATGTACACTGGCAACAGTAGGAAACCTCATTGTTTTAAAAAAATGACTCTGGGCTAAGATGCCATTATTGATTTATTTATTCTTTTATTGCATGTATTGATAGAAACCTTGAAAAAAACTACCCATAATTACAAATCCACAACACACAAGTTCAAAATGAAAGGCAAATATCTTCAAAGAATAACTGTGACATGCATCTTGCCTCAAGGTGTTTGGAGCATAACACAAACATTAAAATGTTCTCTGTAATTAAAACAAGTTCTTACAGTATCAGGAAGCAAAGCAGTTTCTTTAAAGTCACATGGATTTTATAAAACCAAGTGGCAAGCAAGCCTTAGAAGAAATTTAAAGGATATAAACTTAAGATGCCTACTGGGATTTGTCTCAAAGGACAGACTAAACTCAGAAACTAATTGGGTGAAATCATATAATCCCTCACTGAAAAGAAAGTTTGACTTTTTAGGCCAGGAAGGAGTATGTAGACAGAGAAAGGACATAAGATTTTTAGTGTCTGGATTCTTCACTGATAAGGAGTTTTCCTCATCCTTGCTAATTTCAGAGTTAGATAGAACCTTACTTCTCCCTTTACAGTTCCATCACATGTATGATCAGTTGTTCATGTGAATTTTAATTTGAATCTTGTGTGGCTTATCTTATTTTGCAGCAGCCAAGGGAAAGAAGTTTCTGCCAACATGATACTGAGGGGCATGCAGAATAAAGGCAGCCCTGGGCAGAGAAACAGTCCACCTTTGTTCTGTGCTAGTGGAAGAAAGCAAAGCCCATCAACCAACTTTGGGACTTGATCAACAGTGGGGAGTCACAAACTCTTCTCAATCACTGCATTTTAAACCTCTACTGAAAATAGCTCCTCTGTGCTGGGGCTTAAAGTCCCATCAAAAGCCAATGATGAAACAGTACCTAACTGTTTCTGACTAGAGTCTCTCCATCAGCACTCTGGGAATGTCTTCTAACTTTTCATTGCTTTGCATCCTCTTTTTTTTTTTTTTTTTAATCTTAGATCTGAGCACAAGACAGTCAAATGAAACTGCAAGATTCCCTTAATCCACAGCCTCTTCAAGACATTCAACCCAGTCATTTTTAGAAGTTCAGGAACTTTTGAACAAGATTTAGAATCTTTCAGTGTCAGACTATTCCCTTGGCTTCTTCTCTACCTTAAAATAAGACACACTTTCAAGAGATGGGATACTGTGACTATTATAGTATAAGAACACTGCTGGTGACAATTTCCTCCTCTCTTACCTTTATTTATTTTGGTCTCTCTGTTACCTTCACATTATCCATTTGCTATCTCTGGGGTTGAAGGAATGCGTGTTCGTTCTCTCTAGAAGAGAAACCTTCGTGCCCTCACAGACAGCCGACTTTCTTCAAAAGACTGGGAAAACTAGAAAAAGGATCTGCTATTTCTCTGAAGAACTGCAGAGACTGACTCATGAGAGGAGATTCTCTTAGGTGAGAGATGCAACTAGCTGGAAGTGTTTGTCCTTGGACCCCGCCGGCGACCTACAACCTCGTAGGACAGCACCCCTGCACAGGTCACTCCGGCTCCTGGACTTACCTGGTGCTGAGGACCAATGCTGGCAGCAGAGGCAGCAAGTAGTGCGCTGGGCTGAATTTCATTCTGTTGCCTGCCGGGGTCCTCCTTTCCTCGCTGCCTGGACTCCCTCGCCTGCTCCTGGTCCTTGCCACTCTCTGGTGTCCGGCTCAGTCCTCAGCCGGAGATGTGCCCTCTCCAGCAGAGGACAGAAGGAGATGGACACATGGACTGCCGATCAGCGAAGGCTGGAGCGAGGAGTGAGCTCCAGGAGTGATGTCACCGCGAGGCGAGCCCTGCCCGGGATTGCTCGGCGCCGCCGCTCTCAGCCCGGAGGGCGCGCTGTCACTAGCGCTGGAGGCGGTGGAGAGGGCGGGGGTGCCCCACGGCTGCCCGAGAGCTCTGGCCACTGGGCTGTGAACCCGCTTCTCCCGAGGGGCGGGGGTGAGGGCAAACCTAATCTACTGCTAATTGCACAGGCGTACTGAGCAAGAGGTGAAAATCACAGGGAAGGACGCTCAGATGCTTGGATTCCAGGCAGGTGCCCCTCACCTGATTAAACAGTGCTTGGAAGAAAGGTGCTCCAGAGAGGGCTTTGAAAAGACTATTCTAATTAGAAATGCATAATGATCCTCCTGATGAGGGTGGGGGGAGAGCAAAAGTGAGCAGCGTCCACCAATGTGCCCAGAGCCCACGATGCCATTGCAAGCAGCTTTGCCTGCCAACATGCAGGAGAAAGAGGTTTCTGGGCCCTGAGGATGCTTGCTGCGTCCTGGGTGTTCAAGATTTCAGCTTTCCCTCGGATTTCAATCTGTCTGCTTCTAATAGCAGCTGCCAGTGGGATTGGAGCTGATAACCTAAATTCATATAAGGAAAGGAGCCTTTTCCTTAGGTGAGACTAATCAGAAGGTGTAAGTAGAGAGAAATGTATCAAAATGTTAACAGAATTAGAGTTCTGGGATTTGGGGGAAGAGGATTTGGTGGTATCTGTTTTACAGATTTGCCTTAATGAATGCCCAGCAGTCAATGATCCTCAGTCTTTTAAAACATAAGAAAAAAAATGAAACAATTCAACTCTTACATAAACTAACATTTTGAAAAAGCAGTTCTGCAAAATTTCACATACTGTGATTTTCAAACCTAGGATCTTTAAAACATAGTATATTTTATATATTCAAACTGAATATACTGGTTAAATAATTTTCTAAAAGCCCTGAACAACCACCATCCTAGAGGAAAAAGAATCAATGTTATCACTATTATAGCTATGAAGAAACTTGGGCTTATCAAGATTTGAGCTTGCTTAATTTCCATCCTGTAACCAGAGGACTGAGTTCTCTGAAATCATAAGTATATTCAGCTATTGCTTAGGATAACCAATCTAACAGAGTGATGGATGCAAAATTGACGCTCAGAAGAGCTTGAAAGATATCTAAGGGTCTGAAGAATAGTAGTCAGTTTCTCTTCAGAAATTCCTATGCAGAGACCACAGTTCACGTTTCATGTTCAGAAAGAAGTCATTTCCATAAATTTAAAATCAAAGTGTCCTTTAAAAATCCTTTGTGGAGATATTATTTGTGGGGACATTATCTCTTATAAAGCTGTATTTTTTTCAAGTATAGAAGTTAAAGAGTAAATCATTTTCCTTGTCATTGTTGTTTAAAATGAGATTAAAGTCTTAGGTATTCATTCATTCATTCATTCATTACAAATATTGTTTTGAAATGCATGGTGATAAAATGAAGAACTTTTTTCAAATGGAATACCAGTCCCGTGCAGCAAACTATAGGTTTAACTCAGGATATAAAAGTTAATATTCTTTGGATTACAGGACAAAGGAGGAAAGATGGTGAAACATTTTGCTAAAGCAACATGCTTTGGTTACCTACCACATTTGTATTTGTTATCATATGCCACAATTATACTAGTTACTCATTTCTCTTTTGCAGTCGAGAGGACAGGCTCAGGGAGACCAGGTAATCTGGTCAAGGTCACTAAGTAACCAAGTCAATGAAGAAGGCATTCATATTGAATCTTTATTCCACCAGATCTTTAACTTCTTAAATAAAAATTTTAAACTTATGTAAGAAAAGATTTTCTTCAATTTATGTTTTATTGCTTTTTACTATAATACATCATCAAATTTTAATCAGACTGCCCTAGGTTGTCAGTCAAGACAAAGAATCAATATTAACATTCTTTAGGTTAGATGTCACAATACCCTTAAACAACCACAGACAGGAAAAAAAAGAGTATGCAAATTAGAAAACGTCTGGAACATCACATCAACAGAGAACTACCAGAAGTGCAGGCTGGATTTAGAAGGGGTCGTGCGTGGTACTAGGAATATTGTAGTTAATGTTAAATGGATCTTGGCTGAACGTAGGGAGTACCAGAGGAAAGTCTATCCGTGTTTCACTGATTATGAAAAGGCATTTGACTGTGTGGATCATAACAAACTGTGGCTGACTGAGAAGAATGGATATCCCAGAACTCTTGATTGTGCTAATGCGAAACCTATACTTGGACCAGCAGACAGTCGTCAGAACAGAGCAAGGAAACAGTGCATGGTTCAAAACTGGGAAGGGTGTCCTATCTCCGTACCTTTTCAATCTATATACACAGCAGATTATCTAGGAGGCTGGGCTCTGTGAGGAGAAATGTGGCATCAGGATTGGAGGAACACTCATCAAGAATCTGAATTATGCAGATGATACAACCCTGCTTGCTCAAACTAAGGAGGACCTGAAGCACTTGCTGCAGAAGGTCAAAGACTGCAACCATCAGTATGGATCGACACTCAGTATAAAAAAAAACCAAAGATTCTCACCATTGGGCATATTGGCAGCATTGTAACAGATGGTGAAGAGATTGAGATTGTTCATAGCTTTAGTTTGCTTGGCTCCACAATCAACACTCTTGGCACTAGCATCCAGGTAATTAAAAGACGTATTGTGATGGGAAAGTCTTCAGTTAGAGACCTCTCTAAAGTATTGAAGAGCAAGACTGTCATTCTGGAGACTAAGGTGTACCTGATACAGGCCATGGCCTTTGCAATCACTTGCTATGCTTCAAAAAGCCGGACAATGACTAGGGATGATAGAAGGAGAATTGATGCCTTTGAACTGTGGTTCTGGAAAAGAGTATTGAATATACAATGGACTGCAAAGATAATAAACAGGATTCTGAAGAGGGTGAAGCCTTAGAAGCAAGGATTCTGAAGCTTCGTCTGACACTCTTTGGACATGTTGCATGGAGGCATCAGTCCTTGGAGAGGGACATCATGCTTGGGAGGGTGGTGGGACAGCACAGGAGAGGAAGACCCTTGATGAGATGGTTTGATTCAGTGACTGGGGTAATAAGGGGAAGTGGGGGAGACACAAAAAGATTGGCACGAGATAGAGCAGGGTTTAGGGCTGTTGTACATAGGATCACTATCACTTGCAGGCGACTCAATGGCACAAAACAACAACAAATTAGAGAAGCCTGGAAGTATCAAGGAAATCCATCTTAGAAGATGAACCTAAGTGAGTAAGTGAGGTTTTGGAAATTTCTGCAGATTTAGCAGATAAAATACAATAATCTTAATTCTAGCGCAGATCTACCTCTCAGCCTAAGTCTCTTGTGGGAGCTTTATATGACCATTAGTCTTCATTACCCAAGACATTCTGTCTGCACTACCACAGGAAAACTTAAATCCAGGATTGATTTCATGGTTTCCTAGAGCCAGTATGTGAATTTTAAAGACTCAGTGGCGCAGTCTGAAAGTTCACTTAGCTGCCACTGCTTGCCCTGGACTAAATTCTAACATTAGATTTAGAAAAAGGTTTTTTGGAAAACTTACATCCTATTCTGCTGAATAGAGAACATCAAAAACTTTTTAAAAGTTGTACTGAATCCATAGTTTTCCTAAAATGTGATTGACTACACGTGGACTGTTTTCATGACCTTTGTTGAGATCTACACCAGCAGCCAGGAAATTAAAAGACACATTGCCATGGGAAAGTCTGCTGTTAGGGACCTCTTCAAAGTACTGAAGAGCAATGGTGTCTCTCTGGAGACTAAGGTGTGTCTGATACAGGCCATGGTCTTTGCAATCACTTGTTATGCGCCAGAGAGCTGGACAATGACTAAGGAGGATAGAAGGAGAATTGATGTCTTTGAGCTGTGGTGCTGGAGAAGAGTATTGAGGGTACCATGGACTGCTAGGAAAACAAACAGATTCGTTCTGAAGAGGGTTAAACCAGGCTACTCCTTGGAGACAAGGATTCTGAGGCTTTGTCTGACATACTTTGGACATGTTGTAAGGAGGGAGAGGTCCTTGGAGAGGGACATCATGCTTGGGAGGGTGGAGGGACAGCACAGGAGGGGAAGGCCCTCTATGAGGTGGATTGATTCAGTAACGGGTTATCGGGATGGGTGTGTCAGAGGCAGTGCAATTGGCACAGGATAGAGCAGGGTTTAGGGCTGTTGTACTTTAGGTTCGCTATGAGTCGCAAGCGACTCAATGGCACATAATATCAACAACAACAGAGATAGTCATGGAGTATGAAATCATCATCAATATTTAATTTTAGAATATTTCCACCCCCCTTAAAAGAAACTGTGTCCATTAGTAGTCACTCAACATTCTCTCCTCAGCCCCAAATCTAATTTCTCTATCAATGGATGGACATGTTCATGGCATTCAATGTAAATTGAAGCATCCAGAATGAAGTCTTAATATGACTAGCCCCTTTGGCATGTACAGTTCACATTTCATCCATAAAGTAACAAGAATTAGCAAGATAGTCCTTGCTATTGTTGAAAAATGTTGTGTTGTGTGACACATTTTCTTTATCCAAACTCTGTTCCATTGTATGGGTACATCACTATTTGTTTATGCATTCATCAACTAAAGGACATTTGATGCTTTTGGGTTTTGGGTTTATTCCTTCTTTAAGTTTTTCTTTAAATTTATGTCTCTGTTATAAAAAACACTTGCTATGATCACTTTTATGAAAGTTCTGGGTGAATATATGTTTTTAATTTGGGGGTATATACTTAGAAGTAGAAATGATGGGTTACACAGTAACAATTTTATATCATTTCAAGAGCCATCAAGTGGAGCATCGCCTTCCAGAATATTTTGTGTATCATATCTGCCATCTCAAACTTGGCAGGATCTCCTTACTCTAAGCTGCATGACATTCATTGGATTACTTTGATAATGCACTTCTAATGTTGTTAGATGCCATCAAGTTGAGTAAAACTCATAATGACCCTATGAAGAGCCTGCCTGCACCCTGTCCTATCCAGTGCCATCCTCATCATCTTGGACACACTACAGCTCATTGCTGAAGTCATCATGCCAATTCAACTTCTTGGGGGAGGGTGTCTTCCTCTCCTTTATTTACCCTCTATCTTTCCAAGGATGGTGTCCTTTCTAAGAAATAGCTTCACCTAACTACATTTCAGGAGTTTGAAAGATGGAGTTTAACCATCTTTGCCTCCAAATAGCACTCTGGCTGTACTTTTTCTTAGACATATCTGTTTGGAATCTCCATATAATATCCAGTACTCTACTCTAGCACCACAACTCAAAGGCATCTATTCGTCTTGTATCCTTATTAATTTTCCAGCTCTTTGATGCATAGCAAATGATTGAAAAGACGATGGCCTGAATCAAGCACATCTTAGTCTTCAAACTGACATCATTGCTAGTCAGCATTTTGTAGAGTCCCTGACA